TCTTCTTCTTCTTCTTTATTATTATTATTATTATTATTATTATTATTATTATTATTTATTATTATTATTGAGGTTGTTATTATTATTGTTATTGTGACGGTTATTGGGAGCACTAAAACCTTAAGCATCATAAAGCGCCATGGAAATGGGATGTAATCAGATGTGAACTAGGAAGGAGGAGGATTGTTCTAATTCCTTGGATCAAGAGGAGTTCTGGATTTATATCTCCAGTTTATGAAGACAACACTCCCTCCCCTCCCGTCTCCTCCATGACTCAGAAGAGACGGTTCCCTACCACTTTTCATTTCATGGCGACAAACTCGGTATCGCTTGTCTAATTAAGCCCTGTTTTTACCCTCGGTAAATTATTCTATAAACATCCTGCCAGCAGATAAATGATGCTTTAATTTGAAATTAAGAATAAATTACATCGTGAGAGGGGGAAGTGGGAGGGGGATTCGGGAAAATAAAAGAGCAGCGGGTTTTTATGCTGCAAGCTGGTCCTCTGCGGTGCGTAAATTGTCACAGCGTCAGGTAAACGTGCACGTCACGTCTGGCAGCTTACCCACTCAAGGTGCTCTGTTTTGTCATTATTATTATTGATGTGGTTTTTCAACACTACCCTCGTGTGTTCTCTCTAACACCACCCTCGTGTGTTCTCTCCAATACTACTTTCATGTGTTATCTCCAACACCACTGTCATGTTCTCTTCAACACCACCCTTGTGTGTTCTCTCCCACACCACCCTCGTGTGTTTTCAACACCACCCTCGTATGTTCTCTCCCACACCACCTTTGTGTCTTATCTCCAACACCACTCTCGTGTGTTGTCTCCCACACTACCATTGTGTGTTCTCTCCAGTACCACTCTCGTGTGTTCTCTCCTACACTACCTCCGTTTGTTCTCTTTAGCACCACTCTCGTGTGTTCTCTCCTACACTACCTTCTTTTGTTCTCTCCAGCACCACTCTCGTGTGTTCTCTCCTACACTACTGTCGTGTGTTCTCTCCAGCACCACTCTCGTGTGTTCTCTCCCACACCACCTTCGTGCCTCCCAACATTCATTGCTCCCCAGAGTCATTCTCGTACCCTGATGCGAACCACAACATTCTACTAAACATTATTCCATTCGTGGGCTGATTTCTTTTCTAATGTTTTATTGCCCAACAAATTTATGAATTAACGACGTCTAAAATTAAAAAAAAAATATATAGAAGTCTTGGTGGCATTTTTCAACATTAGCTCGAGACGTGGAGAGCGCCCTTGAGGAAGCTTACTTATGGCAGATACAAATGAACATAAAAACTAGCTACAACATTTTCTTGCCTGTTTTAAATTTTCGCTGCTTTCTAGCCGAACATTGTGCATTAGTGAAGGCAGAAACGTTACTACGGAAATAAACATTTCCGATCGTTATATAACTTTTAATGGTTTCAGGAAGGAGAGTATAGTGAGGGACACCAGTCTTCCGTAAGACAGGAAGTAAAAGCAAGTGCTAGGATATTACAGTGTGGTGGGGCAGGTGGTTAGATTACTGTGCATTTCTTAACCATCCAGCGAACGATAGCACAAGAGGAAATGGATTTACAAAAGGCGTAGGAACTAGGCCTCTAAAAAAAGGGGGGGTTAAGAGGAGTTCTGGATTTATATCTCTGTTGCAAGCATATTTTTTAATATTTGCTTAATATATCTGGCATCTTATGTTCATTACATAGAGGCCTTGACATGTCGCATATAGGTTATTATATCTCTATAGTCACATATATCCCGTCTGTGACAGCTTTCCGGTTATTTAAAATCTAGGAATGTTGAAAACTGAAAACTAAGAATTTATCAGTAAACTGTAGAAAGTTATTCTCCTTATTGTTTGATGATACACATTTCCAACATGGGGTCCAAAAATTATTTCTATATATACAAAATATACTGTATAAAATGATGGTGCTTCGCAAAAGTGTTCTTCAAAATCCCATATTACTCACAGGTAATCCTGGTCAGTTGTGGAGGTCACAATCAGGATGTCGCATTGAAATTAAATGTGTGTGAAAGACGACAACGAAAACGAGAACAAAGAGAAGACGAAGAAAACGAAGAAGAAGCAAAGAAAGAAGAACGAATATATTCAGATTGGAAATCCCGGAAGGTGAATAAACCATAATAATCCAAGTTTAACGAGGGCCAGTACTTCTGTTGCAGGTCTGCAATGTCGCGCTGTGTTATAAGTATCGGCCAGTAACAGTCATAAACAGGAAAAGAAGTTAGACTCTTAAATATCGCCTTTGATTTGTATATAATATTCCTTCACCAAATTGCCTTTTCACAGTAATAAGGCACGGTGAACACCAGCTATCACAGAAAACCAGAGGTCGCAATGTGATGTGCAGTAGCTGGCGGCCAGAGAGAGAGTTTGGTTGGATGGAACGATTACCTAAACAAAGAAATCAATCCATTTCCTCAATTCCTCCCTAACAAGTCAGAATACCACAGCACAACCTATGTCA